TTTTGTTGCTGTTTTTTGAGACAGGGTCTCAGTATGTAGTTGAGACTGACCTGGAACTCACTATGCAGCCCAGGCTGGTCTCAAACTCACAGTGATCCTCCTGCCTCAGCCTCCCGAGTGCTGGAACTACAGGCATGCACCACCATGCCCAGCTGTTATACATTATATTTTAGTAGTGGGATTCAATTTATACCTTTCTGTGAGGTAAATAGAGCAGATATTATTGTTTCTACAGAATTTAAGTGGTTTACCAAAGATTATGCTCCAGGTAGATAGAAAGGCTAAAGTTTTCTCCCAGGATTTCTGCTACTCCCTCCCCACTTTGCCTGTTCTTTAATCACAATGATACTGAAGTAGAATGGAAATTCTTTTGACAGAAGTATCATGAGTGTATGTGTATTTTCTGATTATCATTTATCAAATATTTATTTTGTGTATAAGCATCATGTTAAACACTGCTTGTTTGTGTGTATAAGATTGTAGCACCGTATGTAAGCCTTCTGCCCTAAATTTACAGTTTACCTGGGACATAGAGTAGAAACATGGTAGTTAAGTTAGAGTGTGAGATGTCTCTGAATGGCGCATGAGCAAAACAGTGGAGGACAGAGTAGAGACAGGGAAGGCAGGGGGACAACTGAAGTGAGGGACGACAGCTCCAGGTGATGAGGGCAGGTATCTCATCATATATGAAGGGAGAGTGTACAAGGCTTGGTGATTATGCTTGTAGAAAACCAAGGGACCAAAGGTGTTTCTGAAGTTTGAAACAGAGTGACCGGGAGAATAATAAGAAATAAGACCAAATTGGGAATGAGTAGGGAGAGCAGCAGTGGGGCAGTTGATGTGTGTGAAAAGGAGAGATAGAACAGTGTCTGAAAGTCGGGCTCAACATCTAGGGCAGTGGTGGTGAACCTATGGGATACTTGCCACAGTGGTCTGTTTGTATCATTAAAAGCTCTAAAAGGTTCACCATCACTGAACTGGGGCATCTAAGCAAAATGAAAAATTTAGGAGTAAGGCTAGGTCCAGGGAGACCTAGTTGGTGAGTTGGCAGAAGCAATACAATTGCTAAAGTGAAACAGTTTTGTAAAGTGAAATAGTTTCTTTGAGAGTTTGGAGGATTTCACTTTAGGAAACATCTGGTGTTCAGGAAAGAATAAAAATTGATAACCAGACTATTTGGAAAACTTTAAATATAGAGACCATGAAGAACTGACAAAGTTAGAGATTATCTCTTTATTGTTTATAATAGAACATTAGGAGTGTGAAGAATCATCCCTAAGTACTACAGTAGGCATCATCTAAGGAGGACAATGTAGATTATTCTTGTTATATGTATAACAGTTACTTTGGTGAAGAGCCTCCCCCCAGGTAGGTTTCTATGTTTATTTTTTAAGAATCGCTTTTGTGGTTTTAAGAGACTACCTTGTTCTAATCCTCACGCCAAGGAGTAGTATGAACAGATAATGTAGAGAAGAAAATAATGGACCAAATGAATCGAGAAAATGGGAGAATTTTTTAAAGGAAACTGTCTCAGTCTGTTTCTGCTGCTATAACAAAATATCTTAGGTTGGGTAAATTAAAATAATGGAAATTTATTTCTTGCAGTCAGGGAAGTCCAAGATCAAAGCTCCAAGCAGACTCTTTGTTAAGAACTACTCCCCCCACAATATGACACCTTCTTGCTGCAACATCACATGATAGGTGGTCAAAAAGGGTCAGATTCCTTCAAGCCTTTTAATAAAGGCACTAATCTCATTCATGCCCTAACCACCTTTTTTTTTTGGGGGGGGTGCTGGGGATCGAACTCAGGACCTTGCGCTTGTGAGGCAGGCGTGGGTGCCACTGAGTTAAATTACCAGCCCTCCTAACCACCTCTTAATGGTATTGGATTGGGAAGTAAGTTTCAACATGAATTTTGGAGAGACACAACATTGAAATCATAGAGGGGGATCAAGGATCAAATCTTACTGTCATTTAAAAATGATACCGCTCTTGCCAGTGTGGTGGCGCACACCTGTTATCCCAGCACTCGGGAGGCTGAGGCAG